ATGTTTGTTAGAATGTGTGACGGATAGCTGATGTCTGCCCAGAATACGTTCACAGTGAAGTTAGTGTCGTTTGCTTAACTTAGCATTTTTATAGCAGGTATATTCCTTATCATTGGAGAAGCTCTGTCCATAATTGGCACAGCTATCATGCTGTCGCATGGGTAATTGGCAGTTAGGTTATTCTGTTTTCCTGTGTTTCTAGGAATGTATATATCCCATATGTTTGTGTTTTAAGCCAAGCTTGGAGCCACTTTTGTGGCTTGATTGATTATGTTTGATTATGTTGTACAAGATGCTCAGGCCATGTAATCCGTCTGTGTCTCGCAATGTCGAGGGATACATTGTTTATTTATTTAACACCGAGGTCAAATTATATGCGTTAATTCTGGGTAATTTATCCAGTAGACGTTATGTGGATGTATTGGTGTTCATGTCCAGGTAGCATCTCAGTTTACTGAAAAATGATTGGACGGTCTCACACGACCTGATTGAGATTGGGAGTTGATTCCACAGAGCAGCAAATCTGACTAGAAAAAGTTAAACAGCAAATTCGGTTGCATCTAATAAAACTATGATAAAGTCTGTTACGAAAGTCCCACCTGGAACCGTGTTGTAATGTTAATGGGGGTAGATTGCAATAGGCATTGCCGTGAATCAGAGTATACAGCAGTATCAAGTCATGTCTTAGTCTTCACAGCCAAGTCGGACCGAGGTGTATTTGCTGGCAACGCTCAAGATAGTTCGTGGTAGCAATTTTGCCAGACAGATTTTTAGTAACTGACCATTGCAGACTTTCTACCGCTGTTCTGTCAGACTTCTTTCTGTGCCCACATAGTCTGATGCAATAGTAGTAAAAAGTCCCAGTGAAAGATGAAAACTCAGTTTTCAAGAAACAAATGTTTTCAACAATTCTTAAGGCTCGTAAACTTATATGTCAATATTTTGGTTGTTTTTTGCATACGATTGTACAAGTCTGAAAATGAATTATTGAAAACAAATGTTCGCTTGAAAAGATTGAGTTATGATGTAATACTCCAGGACGGAAAGATTGAGGATTTTAAAATGTTCGACTCTGGTTGAAATGGTGTGCACCTTATAAGATATACTAGCTACCAATTTTCTGGCTCGTGCTATATGGTACACATCCTGCTCAGAAAAGTTGTAGGAATATCTGATTCTGAGGTCGGTTGTAGACCGTTGTACACAGTTGCATTCGCTGTTAGGTGTGACATTGGATTTTATTCTTGTTGTAACTTCCCATCATCCATTTGTTTTACTATGGTACATCCGATTCACTTCCGTCCGCTCTGTTAGACGTGCGCTACCTTGCTGCTTGCTCCCGCTACGTTGCTTGCACTTCATTACAACTCCGTACAATACTCAGCAGCGCTAACACTCTGTCTAATCGGTATCCGTGTTGGTTCCTACCGCTTCTCATCGCGACCAGTATTTGGGTTCCGCACCACCATTGTTGACCCCGGTTGCGAACGACATCACAACCTTTTGGAATTCCGTATCCCGGTGAGACGGAACTTTGTCGTTTCTGTTCGATTTTCCCGTTTTTATATCTGTAGTATTATTTCACACTGTTTCGTCTCGTCGTTGAACTTCCAGACCGCGTATTATTTCTTATTCATATCAACAATCTCCGGCAGCAGCTCCAGTCAATATGTGTCCTGTTTGCAGATGATTTGAAAATCTGGAGGATCATTGAGAAGCAGGACGACTGCGCTCGCCTCCGGCATGACTTAGTCGACTGTCAACGTGGTCCACTGAAATGCAACTCTTTCGTAACGTAAGCAAGTCGGAGTTCATCAGTATCACCAGACGTGCAGCCACTCGATCATATAATTTGCACGGCCATTTGCTCCACCCTAACACATCTGCCAGACTTAGGAATGCGCTCGCGACATGACATGAGATCACTAGAAAATACAGAGAAATTGTACCGTGCGGGACTTCGTCTGCTGTGGGTATTACGACGCAGTTTCTCCACATGGTCTGAAGAAACCGTCCCTCGCCTATTCACTTCGCTCATCAGAAAGCTCTTTGAATACGACGCCCCAGCTTACCATCCGATGGCGTAATGGGAAACGGAAAAGCTCGAGAAAATACAGCACATCGCAACTAGAATGGTACCCAGTCTATGGAAGCTTCCGTATGACAAAACTTGTGGAAAGCTCAGACTTTACACGCTGTCCTAACACAATGTACGAATTTACCTTATTATGACCCATCGAGTACTACACTTGAAACACTTTCCCATACTGCGCTCAATATTCCACCTGCGAGCACCCTGCGACACCCGATGACATCATTATAAACTC